TCCGGACATCATACATGACGTGGAACGCTCAAACTCTGCCCTTTCTATACATTTAAAGAGATATGGCGCCTTTTTATGACATGTCCTTTCTTCATGACATCACACTATCATGTAACCAATCACTACACAGTGTAGGGTATTTAACTTCCTGGTTGTTCTAAGTTCATTGCTCTGTCATGGTTTCTGTTTATCTGAAAGTACATCATATATTACTTATTATTTTTATTTGTTTTATTTATTCGTTATGTTTGATGCGCAATGAGACAGATATGTAGTGACAGTGATAAATGGTGCAAAAACAATGCCAGTAATTACATACTAAAATACATCACACAGGAAATAGTATCAGTAAAAGCTGCACATTTTTTTTAATGTTAAGTTGGGTAAAGCATATATGTCAGACATGTCTAAGTGCTAACAAACAAAAATGGCACAAGGATAATTCTAGGCATGTATGGTAAATAGCACAAATTTTGCTAAACAAGCTAGGTTAACACAGATGAGTAATTTTTCCACTGAGGACAAATACATCACTATGCTGTACTTTAATTTAAAAAGGTAATCAAAGACATAAGATTGATACAGCAGGCATCATAGATCAGACAGGCTTAATAGCTCAGGGACATGTCAGGGAAAGCCCCCATTGCAGTGGGAGGTCAGCCGATGCCTTGCAGATGCTCTGCAGAGCCACTGGAACCGTGTGTGGTAGCCTTCTAAGGTCAGGATCCTGGCAGTGTCCAGTAAGGCAAGTAGAATCTCATGCTGGGGTCTTGGCCACATTGGCTCGCTGCTGCCGCCAGTGCAGGTTAGTGAGGAGTTACAGGCAGTTAGATAGTCCCTGGCTTGGTAGGTTCCTGCAGCCACAGTCCTCCTTGCTGCAGAAGCACTCCGCATGACAGCCTCCATTGCAGTGGGCCTTCTCCTTAGGACCTGATTGCCTGGCGTTTCCCTCTTTGGCACACAGCAGGAACCCTAACATGTTTAACAGCAGGTACAGATTGTTGGGGAGCCATGGGAGTGCCCCTCTGCCGCTCCTCTATGTGGTGCCAAAACGCATCAAAAATGTCGTCTAGCGGTTGGGTAATAGAACGTGGCTGTGTGATCTTGGTGGGCTCATAGGTGATTCCCACCATTTTAGGGGCAGTAGGTCTCCATTGATTTCTCTGCCACAGAGCATGAGGATGTTCCCCTGGGACCGGGATAACCCCCACTGGTCCATAGGGGGTGATGGGGGACGGAGTCCATCAGTTGGGTTCATTGCTTTAGGTGGCATATGGAAAGCGGCTGTCTCCCCTGAACCAGCTTTGCTTGTAGGCCGCTGGGCATGTTGGGGTAAGTCACTCAGAATGGTCAGCATATTTGGTACCAGCACGGTCCTAGTGTGGTAACCTCTTTCCAGGTGGCCCTTATGTGTCTCTTATAAGTTTTGTTTTGCCAAAATGCAGATATTTCAATCCTGCAGAGCAGGAGCCTTTATATTTGATCCTGTAACTTTCAAAAACGCTATAAAACCTGTATATGAGGTGTATTGTTATACTCAGGAGAATTTGCTGAACACAAATATTGGTGTTTCAAACATTAAAATGTATCACAACAATATCATCAGTGAAAGTGCCATTTGTGTGTAAAAAATGTCACTTTCACCGACAATATCATAAGTGCGATATGTTTTACTGTTTTGAAACACTAATATTTTTGTTCAGTGAAGTATCCCGAGTAAAACGGTACCCCCCATGTACAGGTTTTATGGTGTCCTAGAAAGTTACAGGGTTAAATATATTGCTTACAATTCAAATTCTCTGCACTTTTTGCCTGGGTTGTCAGGCACGTCAATCAAATTTTAACTAATTAAATAACATAATTATGTTAAAATATTACTTAAATATACATGTAGAATTTTAATATATATACATATATTTAAAGTCCATATATATATATATTAATAACAAAATACAGTTAGAATGAAATTACATATGTATATATAATTTATTTTAAATTTAAAAAAAAATATTTTATCTATTTTATTATTTTATTTATTATTGTAATTATATGTGTATATATAAATATAAAATATATATATGTATTACATATATAATATAAATATATATATATATCTTATATATATGTAACGTCATTCTAAGTGTATTTTAATACTAATATATGTACTTATATTAATATTAAAATATATTATGTATGACGTTACATGTATATAAGATGTATATATTATATATATATATAATATATATATATATATATCTATTTTATATATATATATCTATTTTATATATATATATATATATATATATAAATGCATTTAATTTATTTTAACATGTGTATTTTTATTTTTTCTAATACTTCCCAACAGCTGGGGGACTGTCTGACATTTCAGACAGTCCCCCTGCTGGCAGATCCACAACCAACTATAGGGGGCCATGTGATCACATGGCCACCGGGGGCCTCATTTGCCGGGGGAGGGCTGTCTGGGCTGTCAGGCAGTCCTCCCGAAGAGGATCGCAGCGGAGGTGAGTACCGCCGAGGTCCTGGGGGCTTAAGCCGTTACGGCATTCTATGCCGCCATAACGTCTTTAAAGCCCATTTAAATGGTGACGGCATAGAACAGCGTAACGGCGTTAAGGGGTTAAATATTTTGTTTTTCAGTTTAACTCATGGATGGCATTGTGTCTCAGGGCTCTTTTGATCACTGAAAACAATCTCAGACACCTGTGATAATTAGATTGCCAGGTGAGCCCAGTTTAAGGAAAAACTACTAAAGGAGGGTGTTCCACATTATTAAGCAGAGCACCATTTTCATGCAATATGGGGAAGAAAAAGGATCTCTCTGCTGCCGAAAACAATGAAATAGTGCAATGCCTTGGACGAGGTATGAAAACATTCAATATTTCACAAAAAGCGTGATCATCACACTATTAAGAGATTTGTGGCTGATTCAGAGCACAGACGGGTTCGTGCAGATAAAGGCACATTGAGGAAGATTTGTACAAGATCCATGCATTGGATCAAGAGAGCAGCTGCTAAAACACCATTACATAGCAGATATTTTAAGCTGCTGGTGCCTCTGGAGTCCCACGGACATCAAGGTGTAGAGTCCTCCAGAGTCTTGCAACTGTGCATAAACCTTCTATTCGGCCACCACTAACCAATGCTCACAAGCAGAAATGGGTGCATTGGGTGGAAAAATACATGTAGGCTAATTTTCAAACAGTCCTGTTCACTGATGAGTGCCGTGCATCCCTGGATGGTCCAGATGGATGGAGTAGCGGATGGTTGGTGGACTGCCACCCTGCTTCAACAAGGCTGCGATGTCAGCAAGGCGGTGGTGGAGTCATGTTTTGGGCCGGAAGGTGTAAAGATGATCTCTGCAAAGTATGTGGAGTTTCTGACTGACCACTTTCTTCCCTGGTACAGAAGGAAGAACTATGCTTTCCGTAATAAAAGCATCTTCATGCATGACAATGCACCATCTCATGCTGCAAAGAATACCTCTGCATCAGTGGCTGCTATGGGGATAAAAGGAGAGAAAGTCATGGTGTGGCCTCCATCCTCCCCTGACCTCAATCCTATTGAGAACCTTTGGAGCATCCTCAAGCAAAAGATCTGGGAGGGTGGGATGTAGTTTACATCCAAACAGCAGCTCTGGGAGGCTATTCTGACATCTTGCAAACAAATTCAAGCAGAAACTGTCCAAAAACTCACAAGTTCAATGGATGCAAGACTTGTGAAGCTGCTATCAAATAAGGGGTCCTATGTTAAAATGTAACGTGACCTGTTAAAATGTTAAAAAAGTTATTGTCTTTTGCTACCATGTGTTCAATGGAGTTTTGCCTCTGTCCTTGGAGATAATTGGATTACTTCCCAATTATCTCCAGGATAGAAGACTCTGTGGAACTGGTTTTGGGCAGGAAAGCCATGCTTTATTTGGTCACAAAGGACGTTGATCTAACTTTTGACCCACTGGACCAATTTGTATGATTTTGACGTATGTTGGTATTTGGAGTATGCTGATTCTAAGTTTTATGTGAATGCGATGCATACTTTTAAAGTTATGAATATTGTGTAAAACTGTGTATTTTCCTGCCTGTGATAATTATATTCACCAATTGTGTAAGGTAATTGTATCACAGGCAGAGGGGAGGATTTTGTGTGGGAGTGTCTGTGTGTATTGTACGTATTGATTGGTTGTTCTGCAAAACCCTGTGGACGGTACTATGTTTGTAAAATGGGCATAAAAGCAGAGTGTTGGATTAAAAGCTTCAGTTCTACTTCACCCTCAATTTGGAGTGCCGTCTCTTATTGGGGGATTCTGCTTCAAGGGATTGCTATGCTAGTCATACTCTCTTGCTATATCACTACTAAGCTCTTGTAAGAGCTTGTTCCTGTCTTGCTCTCTGAAGGAGTCTACAGTGGTTATGGTGTCAGCTGGAGTGCTTGGAGCCCTCAGGAAGCGCTAGGAGCATCCTTCAATGGAGGTACCCAGTCGGGGTGCCAGGTGATCCGTTACAATCTTACATTAGAGGGGCAAAGGTTTAAAAATAAAATCAGGAAGTATTACTTTACTGAGAGGATAGTGGATGCATGGAATAACCTTCCAGCTGAAGTGGTAGACATTAACACAGTAATGGAGTTTAAGCATGCATGGGATAGGCATAAGGCTATCCTAACTACAAGATAAGTCCAGGAACTAATGAAAGTATTATGAAAATTGAGCAGAGTAGATGGGCCGAATAGTTCTTAGCTGTATAGAAAAAAGTACTTCCCAGGTAAACAACCTAATAGGGACTACCAGAAAGGGAGGGTTAGTGGGGTGGCAAAAAGGGCATAACCCTGCATAGAGCACAAAAGAAAAAAGGTGAAGGATATGATCACCCCGTAAAGAAAACAGGCTGGTCACCTTCAGGCCACCCCAAAATGACGTCTCAAGAAAAATAATAAACAACTTTTATTGGAAAACTAGAGAACAAACAGAGTTCTAAAAATAAATGGATACAAAGGGCCTGGTTTCTGCAGAGATATAACTACGCACACATGTATCAATCTCTACACAGTGTAGCAGACTCACTCATAACAGAGTAGTAGCTAAGATACATGTAGCAATATGTAGTAAATGGTGTCATGCACCAGACCCCACAGGGTTAACACTCTGGTATAGAAATCGAAAGGATAGAGGAGGTAATAAAGTGAGAATGAAAAATAAAGTGAAAATAACCTGTCAAAGGTAATACAACAGTAGTTGAAGGTTATATCTAACCACAAGTAGCTCACTAAGCCCCACCACCTTAATACAAGTGTCCAGAGCAACAAGATAGCTCAAACATTGGTGTAATACCCTGTAATCGAGAAACAACATCATGTAGCACCTTTGTAAGCTTCAACAGCTGCCCGTGGTAATCCATATAGTAGATATTGGTTTTATTCAATCAACTGTACATACTATATGTGGAAAAGCAGAATATTGGATAATTTTATCTATTTTTATCATACTTACTGTATGTGACAAAAAATGTCTTCTCCACTAGGACCTTTCTGGAATATTGCAATGTAAGAAATACCATATGAACTATGTCCCCTCTACTATTTCTGTAACGTGTATGAATAAATGAAAAATACAATTGTGTCTATGTTCATGATTTAGGTATTCCTGAACAGTAATTTGTATATTGCATTTATAATTTATTGACAAAAAGCATCTCCAGAAATGTCTTAGTCAAGTAAAAATGTTCCATATCCTGTAGATTTATTACCTCCAATGTATTTATTAATAATTTATGTCATTTCAAACAGAGAAAGAAGCATATTTTCATTGTACAGTCAGGTACAATTTGAATAATACTACTGTAGTGATAGAGGAGATGCCACTGGCATTTATTGCTACCATAATTTCATGAGTATTAAAAGGGACATTACAGTTACCAAAACTTTGGCTTAATCAAGCAGTTTTTGTATATAAACCACGCCTCTGAAGTTTCACTGCTCAATTCACTGCCATTTAGGATTTAAATAACTTTTGTTTCTGTTTATGCAGCCCAATCCACACCTCCCCTGGCTGTGACTGACACAGCCTGCATGAAAACAAAATGGTTTCATTTTCAATGAGACATAACTTATTTTAAATGTTTTTTTTGTCTCCTGCGCTGTAAATTAAACTTTAAAAACATATAATACACTCCTGCAGGGTGTAGCAAGCTATTAACAGAGCAGGATAGGGAATTCTATATTAATCAGAATTTAAAAAATAAAGGAAGTGTAAACATTAGATACTTCTTCACAGGAAGTGTTTAGTAAGACTGTGTAAATCACATGCAGTGAGATGTGGGTAGGGCTGATTTAACCCCTAAACTGCAGAGAATTGAGCAGTGAAAGTGAAGAGGCATGAACTATACACCAAAAAGGCTTCATTAAACTGAAGTTGTTTTGGTGATTAGAGTGTCCCTTTAAGAGTCTTGGGTATTGGGCATTTGTTTTTCATATATTTTATTGTCAGAGTTTGCTGTGTTTTTGTTTTCATAATTTATATTTAAGAATTTTAGACATTTTATGTAGTGGACTGACATTGAATATAAACAGGAATATGTTACATTATTTACATATTACATAAACTGTAGATGACAAGAATGCATTGTATTTTATTGTATGATGATGTAGTAACATTTGTTCTGGACAAACACATTTACGTATGCCTTGTACTTCCAATATACTATGCTAAAACAAAAAAGAAATGTAAAATCCTGTCAACTTTGACCTCTTCATTTTATCTTTTTTCAGGATACACAAAAGATCTTGTGATACTTTATGAAGACAATGGGAAAGAATGGGCCATGTATATGAAAGATTTACTTACATTAAATGTACAGTCCATTGACCTCATACTTCACAATCTGAACTCGGATTCTGATGAGATGCTTGAAGATCTTACTTTTGCTAGCTATCAATGCAAATTAGTGGTGCTAACAAATGTTCTTCTGACATCCTTAACTGAAAGGCAAATTACACTTTTAACTCAGATCCTACAACCCTCATATCACGTGGTGATTCTGCTTTGTGGAGTGCCAAGCTTGGATGGATTTTATAAAATTGTTCCTTTACCCAGAGGCTCTAATATCTTTTTTACTGACCAAGATCCTGAGCATTATCTCACAGTTGTGTCTGGAATTCTGAGTGACGGTATTTTTGTTTTTTATTCATATACATTCCCTCTAGCTCACTTGTCGCCATTGTATATCACTATCAAAATTTGAAGATTACATACATTAAAGTCCACTTTTCCTGTGTGTTTTTTAATTTTGTAACGCATGCAAGTTTGTAAGAAACTCTTAAGTGCTTGTCCTGGCTTACCTTTGCCCAATGGGGTAGCCATCTTTAAGCCCTCTTTGGTCAAAAATACTACTTATCCATCCAAAGATCATGCAATTAACTAGGACTAGTGCACCTTCATAGATTGTGGTATCAGTCACTTGTGCTGGTTATATCAAAAACGTACACACATCCAGTTTCATTAGGGCAGCTTACGTGTACTTGACAGACACAGTACACTGATCAGCCACAACATTAAAACCACTGACAGGTGAAGTGAATAATGCTGATTATATCATTAAAATGGCAGCTTTCAAGGGGTGGGATATATTATTCAGCAAGTAAACAGTCAGTTCTTCAATCTAATGTGTTGAAAGCAGGAAAAATTGGCAAGCGAAAATATCTGAGTGACTTTGCCAAGGGCCAAATAGTAAGGGTTAGACAACTGGGTCAGAGCATATCCAAAATGACAAGTATGCAATGGTTAGTACCTACCAAAAGTGGTGTAAGGAAAGACTACTGGTGAACTGGCATCTGGGACATGGGCGCCCAAGGCTCATTGACGCATGTGGGGAGCAAAGGTCCCATCACACAGAAGAGCTAATGTATCTCAAATTATTAAAAAAACTTAATACTGGCCATGATGGAAAAGTGTCAGAACACACAGTGCATCACAATTTGCTGCATATGGGGCTGCATAGATACAGACAATTCATAGTGCCCATGATGACCCCTATTCACCACTGAAAGTGCCTGGACCATGGAGAAATGGAATAAGGTTGCCTGGTCTGGTGAATCCAATTTTCTTGGATGGTCAGGGGGAATGTGGGTTGTTTACCTGGGGAAGAGATGGCAACAGGATTCACTTTGATAAGATAGCAGTTATGATCTGGACAATATTCTGCTGTGAAGCCTTGGGTCATGACCTTCATGTTGATGGTAATTTGACATATACCAGCTACCCAGAGATTGTTGCAGACCATGAACACCCCTTGGTGGGAATTGTGTTCCCTGATGGCAGTGGCCTCTTTTAGAAGTATGATGTACTCTGTCACACTGCAAAAATTGTTCAAGAATGGTTTGAGGAACAGAACAAAGAGTTTAAGGTTTTGTCTTGGCCTCCAAATTCCAGCTTGTGCAGCTGTGGGATATGCTGTCATAACAAATCTGATCCATTGCAACCTCACCACAAAACGTTCAGGACTTAAAGGATCTGCTGTTAAAGTTTTGGTGCCAGATACCACAGGGCACATGCTGAGTTCTTGTGGAGTCCATGCCTCAAATCATCAGAATTGTTTTAGCAGCACAAGGGGGATCTACACGATATTAGGCAGGTGGTTTTAAATATTGTGGCTGATCAGTATATGTTTTGATTCTGACCATAGGGGGATTACATTGCCCTCTGAGTAGGGTAAGCCATGGTATATCCTTAAAAGTCATACGTATATGCATTACAAAATGGTACACAGAGAGAATACATTAAATGTAATCTTTCATTTTTACTTATAATCAAAAAATGCATGTTTTCCTTTAATGTTTATATTATTTTCCTACACAATTTGGGACAGGTATTTGTTGTTGCATAATCCCAGAGGCCTAGTTGCCAGCACATATGCACGGGCACCCAGAGTGTAGAATTTATGGTTTCATGAATTAATACAGTGTTATACATATAAAAGATATATATTTTTCAAAAGTTCAAAATGCCAAACAGATATAAATAGGCAGAATTACCTGTCTTGATTGCCTGTTGTTCACAGCTTGAGCTTCCTAAATACCTGGGGGAAGAAGATCATAGAATCACATTTATTCAGCCTCCAGCTTGTTTCTCTTGCCAAGCATCATTATGCTCTGGATATAGTTCTTTATGTATGGTTGTAGCTAAATACACGAATGTCTGTGAGCCTTTTATTTATAATTGATACAAAAAAGCAGCTACACGTACGCAGCATAACACAGGTCAACGGCTCTAGCAGGAAATAAATATTTTTTGGAAACGCATACAGTAAGTCACTGTAGGTCAGTAAATTTATGAGGCATAATAACCAATTGTTTATTGCTCACTGGTTGATATCATGGGTTGGTCTTGTTCACTATATAACCTTTTCATGGGCAGGTGAGTGGCTATAGCAGTGAAAACAAGGTGTTATTTTCTCCTGTAGCATAGAACAGTTAAAGAAACACTCCAAGCTTCACGACCAGTAAAGTTTACTGTAGTGGTTATGGTGCCAGGAATACCTAATTTCCCTTCTAAATTAGTCTAATTATTTAGAGTCACAGGCTCCAGGAGAGCTGCCAGCTCAGTGCTCATCTCTGGGTAAGCTCAGGGCTGAGAGCTTCTGGCTCTCCTGGGGGAGTTTCACTGCTTACCCTGTGAGTGTGCCAATGCACTCCTGGCATACTGTAATGGTGGTTGGAGTGCTTCTTTAATATCAAAATGGTCTGTAAGCAATTCACATTAAATCTGCAATATAATTCACATAAATCGCTATAGAAAAGTGACTTTATTTAAAATGTTTTAGTCCACTTTTGATGGGGCTAGTGTTCAAATAGCGATACATTTGTTTTGTTTTCTATTTAATATGTTAATTAAAAGAAAAAAAAGTTTAACATTTAATTCAATTTTTATATTTATTAACTCCAAGGCCTCATCTCACACTCATACTCACTCATAGGAACAGCGATTGTGATGCTCTATGTATTTTTTTTATTTTATTTTTTTTTAACTCACCACTTCCCACCCACCCAGGCTCCCCCTAAATATATAGCATGCTCCTCCAGCTGTTTGAGATTCTCACTCAATTACCTCTTCATTCTCCTATCATCTTACCAATAGCTGCTTCTCTCTGTTAACTCTTTTAGCCATCACCTCCAAATTTCCCCTGCTACCTCTTGTCTCAAATCCTCACGGTATCCTTTAGATTGTAAGCTATCTAGCTAAGCACTTTGTATAAAAGAGCTTCAATGGCTAGTTATCAGTTTAGGGGCAGGGCTCTCTTTACCTCTTATATTTGTCTTTGTATATTGTTAGTTCTTCACTAATTGTACGCCCCTGCAGAAATCTCTTGGTGCTTTATAAATACTAGTAATAAATAAATAAATAAGTAAATAAATAAACACAATTATTTTTACACCCAGGACTACTAACCAGAGTAACATTTGTTTAAGTAATAATTCCTTATAGACTATTTGTTTTCTGAAAAAAAAAGTAGAATAGATTTGACCTCCTTGAATAAACTTATAGCCATTGTTTGTTGCTTCATATATGGTCTGTTCAAAAGTTCACACCTACATTTAAAGATATGTTGGTTGAAAAAAAGCTGGTTATTGCCAGTTCAGGATGGGTGCTTGAATCTGGCCCATACTTTTGCTATCCACAAAATGCAAGATAAAAGAGAAAAAAACTACATCCAGGTTTCAGAGGAAGCCATGTTGGAACAAAATTTTAAAACCCTTCTGATTATAAATAGTTGTCAGCTATTGATCCTACACAGCCAGCTATACAAAATGTCTGTAGTCACCAGGGCCGGTGCAACGATTTTTGCCGCCCTAGGCAAAAAACAAATTTCCGCCCCCCCCCCATGTAACATCACAATGCCCCACCCATATGATCTGCCATATGAACTAACGCCAGTGCTGAACACAGTGTGTGTTTACATTAAAAAGCCGGCAGGGAGAGGCTATAGCACCAGAACCACTTCATTAAGCTGCAGTGGTGGGGACTATAGTGTCCCTTTAATGTGAGGTAAATTAGAGCTTAATGTCACTAATAATATACTAGATTGCCTACTTACAACCAGATGAGGATGATGATGGGCTCTAGCTGCAGTTTTGCTCCACTGGTCTGGTGTAGAACAGGATCTCTGGAGGCTGTTTGTAACTGTGGTCACAAAATTCAATGTTCTTGGAGAACAGGAATCAGCACCATTTTTTGGGACTCCTTACACAGCTCAAGATCTGGGCCCCAGGGCCTGACGGTGAGTATGCACATAAGGCCCACCCATAAGTCCACCTACATGTTCCACCCATGAGTTCGCTCACAGGGAGTGGAGTGTGTAGGGGATGTGTTATGTGTTATTGTAGAGGATCTAATGTGTGTGCTTATGGAATGTAGTATATAGGGATACCAGTTTGTGTAGGTGATACAGTGTGTTTGTGTGTAGTGGAAGCAGTGTGTTTTTGTGTAAGGGATAGAAAGAAGTGTGTGTTTGTGTATAAGGGATGTATTGTGTTTCTGGTTGTGTATAAGGGATGCATTGTGTGTTTCTGTGTATGTAAGGGATGCAGTGTGTATGTCTAAGGGGTGCATTGAGTGTAAGAGATGCATTGTGTTTTTGTATGTATAGGAATGCATTGTGTGTGTGTGTGTGTGTGAGCGTAGTGTGAAAGAGCTCCCTGTCCTGCCCTCTGTCCTATAGAGTTCTCCCTTCCGTCCCTTAGAGCTCTCCCCTGCTCCTTAGTGGTCTCTCCTCTCCCCCCCTCCCCTAGCGGTCTCTTCTCCTCCCTGTGTTCTCCTGACCCCCCTCCCTGTGTTCTCCTCACCTCCTCCCTGTGTTCTCCCTTACCCCCTTTCTCCCTGTGTTCTCCTTACTCCCCCTCTCCTGTGTTCTTCTTACTCACCCGCTCTCCTTACTCCCCCCCTCCCTGTGTTCTCTTTACCCCTCCTCTCCCTGTGTTCTCCTTACTCACCCCCGTGTTCTCCTTACTCCCTCCTGTGTTCTCTTTTACTCCCCTCCTCTCCTGTGTTCTCCTTACTCCCCCTCCCCTGTGTTCCCTTACTCAACCCCTCCCTGTGTTCTCCTTACTCAACCCCTCCTGTGTTCTCCTTATTCCCCTCCTGAGTTATCCTTACTCCCCTCCTTGTGTTCTCCTTACTCATCCACCTCTCACTGTGTTCTCCTTACTACACCCCTCTCCTGTGTTCTGTGTTCTCCTCTCCCCCCTCCCTGTGTTCTCCCTTACTCCTCCCCTCTCCCTGTGTTCTCCTTACTCACCCCTTCCTGTGTTCTCCTTACTCCCCGTTCCCTGTGTTCTCCTTACTTCCCCTCCTCCTGTGTTCTCCTACTCTCCCCCCGTGTTCTCTTTACTCACTCTCTCCCTGTGTTCTCCTTACTCCCCCCTCTCCCTGTGTTCTCTCTTACTCACCCCCTTCCTGTGTTCTCCTTACTCCCCCCTCCCTGTGTTCTCTTTACTCACCCCCTCCCTGGGTTCTCAGTACTCAACCACCCCCCGTGTTCTCCTCACCTCCCCTTCTCTTAAGCGTGGCCGAGCTCCTCTCCGGTCCGCGGTACAGGAGCTTCTGTTTCCTGTACCTGGCCGGACTGACAGGAAGTGCACACTTAGTGACTGGAGAGGAGCTCGGCCATGCTACAGGGAAGGGGAGGTAAGGAGACAGGCAGTGCTGCAGCCGCCTGAGCGCTCTCTATAGAGAGCCGCTCAGGCGGCTGCAGCATTAGAAGGACCAGCGACGGGGGCTGGCCTATACTGCGCCCCAAGCGGCTGCCTAGTACGCCTTATAGGAAGCACCGGCCCTGGCAGTCACGGAACAACCAATCAGCACAAAGAGTGTTAAAAGTGCAAGAAAAATATTGTTTAAGATTCACCATCACACAATGCAAGGACACACTGCAAATCATGCACTAAAATGTAACCTCTCCAAAGAAATGTATGAAATGGGTGTAAATAACCGACACAATACAACGCTCAGAGAAAGGTTATAAAGTATTTCAAAAATAATTATTTTCAGACTTGCATGATATAGTTAGAAAATGACTGACATTTTGAACTGTAGTTCATTTTATCTTGACTATTTTAATGCTAATGTGTAATGATAACTCTAACTTCACTGTTGGCTTCTATCACATAGTTTTGCAAACTGATCTCTACACAATCCAGCTTCTATGACAAGGGCTTCTGCTTTCCAATTAAATATTGTAGAATTCTATAAATGTTCTTGTCCTTTCGCGTAATTCCCATCTCTGACATCTCTGTAATTTCCATCTCTGTTGCTTATACACTTTTAGATGTTGAGTACAGATATTTAAATGATGTGGAGCTTTTGCCTTTTTAAATTAGTGAATATTACATAATGTGGTTTAGTGAAAAAGAGAATTTGGAGGGCTAAGATGATAAATTATTGGGACATTTCTGATTTTTTTTTAGACATTTTAGAGATGAACATGTAGTAGTTATTGTACTTTGTGAGGAATTCAATACTTTTTTGGAGTCTGTCACAGCCTTTGGCTGTGTGGACTTTGGCTCATGAGGAATAGAACTTTATGAATACTAGACTTGGAGATTTTTTCAGTCTCAACTGCAATTCATCTGAATTTGTCCCAATCGGGGATCAGTCAATCATATTCTCGAATTACAGCCTAAGCCAGTTGCATAATGTCGAACATGTTTGGGGGGTGGTGTCAGTGTTCTACATTTTCCCCATCGTACCAAACAAAGAGATATATTAAAAACATAAATATATAAAAACAGATTGTATTTGATTTTATGTATTTAAATTACTTCTGTTCTTCTTACTATTGCTTACTTTTTTTTTATTTGAGCTGTGAACCAAATGGCTGGAACATGTTGCTATTAGTGTACTGTTTTTGGGAAGAAATGGTTTGGAAAGAAGGGCAGAATATAGCAGGAAAGATACAAAGAATAGGTAGAGAAGAGAAGATATTGAGACATTGATACAAATTACTGGTAAAGTTATAAAAAAAATAAAATCAGAAGATATCATGGGATAAAAATCTTGGAAAGAAAATTGGAGGAATAAATATTGGCAAAGGCATTACGAGGAAGAAAACAATTGGAAAGTGTGGAGCTGAGTGAAGTGTCGCTAGTGATTTAATTTTCAATGCAATCAACATTCTATTAGGTAGAAATGTAATCACGTATCAGTGATTTCTAACCTTTTCTATACATTTCTACATGTAGAGCTAATGATGATGGTAAATACTTATGCTTACTTAAAGGACATGTTTTAAGACGTCTACTCCATTGTATGATTTGTCTTCACCAGTGGTTGAAAGCTCTACTGTACTGTGTGATAGTGCTACTACTCCATTTCTAATATTTTATATCATCAACAATTTTTCTTATGTACTGTTTTACCCCTTAAGGACCAAACTTCTGGAATAAAAGGGAATCATGACATGCCACACATGTCATGTGTCCTTAAGGAGTTAAATGTGATTTACAGAAATCACAAAATGATTTATGGAATTTGTGCGCTTTAAATATTTAATGACATGTCTTGAACGCCTAGGTATTTGAAAGGCTAGACAGACAAATATAAGTGAGTGGCATGTGTGAGGTTTGTTTTCTACAATCAGGCTTTTATTGTCACACCTTCAGTATGTTCTAAATTATTAAAAAAATTTATGTATATATTGATATTTTCTCAGTTTATTGTTTGGACAGGGTCTGTGCTCTTACTCATAATTCAGCAATTTATGTACTATTTTTTTTTAATCTTTATTTCACGTACCTGCTATGCATCAA